CTGCCTCCGCCTCCCAAGTAGCTGGGACCACAAGCGCCCGCCACAACGCCCGGCCATTTTTTGGTTGCAGCCATCATTGTTGTTTGGCAGGCCGGGCTGGGGATTCGAACCTGCCACCTTAGGTGTATGTGGCTGGCGCCCTAGCCGCTTGAGCCACAGGCGCCGAGCCCAAACTCAGAATTTGACAAGAATCCCAGGTGATCTGAATGCACGTTATAGCTTGTAGAGCACTGCTCTATAAGATCTATTCCTCTGTAGCTATGTCCAATGATGGACTACCTCATACTTATTTAGTAATTAATATACCATGATATAACTAGAGGTTAGTTTCAAGAAACATGTGCATGATTTCTTAAACATGAAAAAATGCTATCAAAAGCACTGTCTCAAATCACTTCATATCCACTAGAATGGCTATAATACAAATACAGGTTATAAGTGAAGGCATTTTCCAAATCAGGCAGAAGGAATAAGGTACAAGTGGCACTCTTATCAGCTAAGAAGACAGGTCAGAGTTTGAGGCTGACAAAACAATTAGGCCTTGAGGGACATGATTCCAGAAAAAAAGAGAACAGCAGAGGAGTAAAATAATCTGCTCCCCTGAAATACTGGCCAAGTCCTAAGCTGTACGTGTATACAGTGAGATCCTTAGAAACCCAACAGAAAATAACAGCTGGGAGGCTAAATAAGATTAGCAGAGATTATGGTTGTCTTGTGGTGCTAAGAGAGAGGATGGCATCTGAGCCCCACTAGTATGGAGAAGCTTAGGCAACCTCCCCAGGTTTTCAGTTGAGATCCCCAAAGGATCATGCTTTAGGAGTAAAAGCCACACCTAAGGAATAAGAACAAAGCCTAAAAGCAATCCCCAATGTATGTGTTAAGGTGATTTGCTAGTATCCTCTAGCCAAATGACAACGTGATCCTCTCTGGGGGAAGATGATTCATTCACAGCCCATATAATTTTTTTTTTCTATAATGTCCAACAGTTGGTTAAAAGAATCATGAGGGATGCTCTCTCTTTCCCCCAACAAATAGAGGGAAAATAAAGATAAGAAGAATAGACCTATAGGTGATTCAAACATTTCAGGAGTTACCTGAAAACAACTTGTCAAAAAAGTAGAGGAAATGACAAACCAAAAAGATGAAAATATTAAGAATTTGAACAGAGAATTGGAATTTATAAAAATGAATCAAATAGATATTTTAGAAGTGAAAAATAATATTCCTGAAATCCAGCAAATTGGGTCCCATAGAAGACAGGATTAGTGCACAAGAAGAAGAATCAAGAGAAAAATCTTTAAACTGAACACTGCAAGGACAACAACAACAAAAGGGAATGTAAACAAGATAATAGGGTCCAACAGGCATGTGGGACAGAGTAAAAAGTTTTATCTTCTTAAAACTAGAATATCAGTAGGAAAGAAGAGAGAGAACTAACCAGAAAAAATATTTTGTTGAGATAAATGGGCCAGAATTTTCCAAAACTGATGAAGGGCATCAACTTTTTGATTCAGTAATCGCAGTGAACCAAAGCAGGATAAACCTAAAGGAAATCACATCTAGATATATAATGTGTATAATCAAAGAGCTGACAGCCAAGGGCATAAAAGTCTTAAAATAAGCTAGAAAAAAAGACATTACCTTCAAATGAGCAACAATGACTGACAGCTGGTATTATATAGCACGAGCCAGAACAAAACAGAATGACATCTTCAAAGAGATGAAAGCGAAAAGTGCCTGCCTAAAATCCCACACTCAAGAGGAAAAATCCATTGGAAAGACAGATTAATTATACAACAGATCAATAAATCAAAAAGTTGGTTTTTTGAAAAGGTCAATAAGATAGATAAACCTTTGGCCAACCTAACCAAGAAAAAAAAAGTAAAATCTCTAATTTCATCAATCAGAAATGGTAAAGACAAAATAACAACAGACCCCTCAGAAATTCAAAAAATCCTTAATGAATATTACAAGAAACTTATTCTCAGAAATGTGAAAATCTG